CGGATGAGAGTTCAGCTAGTGCTGTTATCTGCGAAGTGACCGAAAGGGTGAATCTCAGCATTCGTGCAATTGCTCAAAATTGTGACACCACCCCTTACGCAGTGCAGCGGATTTTGAAGGATAGAAAATTTCGTCGGTATGGTGCATGTCAAGTGCAAATGTTGAACTTTTGGGCGACATCAAATCCATGACGCTGCGTAGCTTCCCCGTATGCAACATAGTCCTAAGGTAATGGTTTGGGCTGAACTAACTGGTAAGTTACTTTCTAATTGTACTAATGTCATACATTTCCTAGCATCGTCCTACAAAGAAATGCTACAGACCTGCATAATTCCGCAGCTGCAGGCTGATGGTGTTTCCAGCATCATTTGGTGGCAACATGATAGCGCACCAGCTCATTACGCACAAACGGTGCGTGATTATCTTGACGAGATGTTCGGTCACCGGTGGATTGGTCGCTTTGGTCCTATGCAATGGCCTCCCCGATCACCAGAAGCAGCGGGCTAGTTGGCACAAACCACTAGCAGTCATGGGTTCGATCCTCCGCAGAGGACCGAAGGATGCGCACCACTGATGAGCCCCAATAGGGCGAAACGGCCGTCTGGTGCTTTTCCGGATAGGCAGTTGACTTATCTGAGTTGTCGGCTGATTGCGACGAACAAAAATACTCGCCAAAATCCTTCTACTCATAAGCAACACAAATTCGCCCTTACGGATTCCATAAATGCTGTGTCGATTCATAGCTGCCGTAACCGGGAAGTCCTGACGCCGGAAGGCCAACCGCTGTCATCTGCACGGCAGGTGCCTGCATGGCATTGGATGATGGGTCGGGATATATCGCAGTTAGCTAACAATTCGTGATGGTCGGCTACCGTCCTCCATGGCTCAGCTGCATAAGCAGCGGGCTAGTTTGCAAAAGCCACTAGCAGCCATGGATTCGATCCTCTGTAGAAGACCGAAGGATGCGTACCACTGACGAGTCCCAATAGGGCGAAACGGCCATCTGGTGTTTTTCCGGCTGATTGCGACGAACAAAAATACTAGCCAAAATCCATCTACTCATAAGATTTGAACCTCTTAGATTTTTTCCTATGGGGTTATTTGAGACGGAACGTATACAAGACAAGACCTATTTCACTGGAACAACTGAAGGACCGGATTGTCATCGAATATCGTGCCATCAAAAGGGAAACTTTGCAAAAGGTTCTGGCCAATTGTCTCAGGCGATTTCTGCAATGCAAGCGGAACGCCGGCAGACAAACTGAGCATCTTTTTCGTTGACTTATATCTCATCGTTTCATGTTGTTCACGTAAATATAACTTTTCGCCATTATTACCAGAGCAGAGAGAAATTCCTCCCCAAGGTACACAGGTTTGCGGTTAAGCACACCGCTCCGATTGGATACTCTGACAAAGAATGCAAATTATCTGTCCCTCGTAGAGACACGTGTCGTGATGAATTGGATTGAACTCATACAGCAATCCGTCCCGCTTTTCCAATCGTACTCTAGTTACCTAGACATCGCATAGACCAGGATCAAAAGTAACCAACACATGCGTACAAAAGCGGTATGTTCTACGACAAGTGCGTTAAACAAAATCCATCCTAATGAGTAGGGTTCGAAGACATGGTAGTGGTGCTGGGTAATATAAAGTGATATGGATGCCGATGGTCGAACTTCAGTGATACTGTCTCATTTGTTCTCTGTGATTTGTGTGACAGACATAATAATAATAATAATAATGATAATAATAATAATAGGGAGCCGAGAGTGAGAAGGAGGAGCAGACGGAAAATGGAGATACAAAACATCCACAGTGGCATGGATTCCGGTTTATCCGTTCTGCCTGTATGTAGGGAAGGTGACTACTGTGCTTGCGTGGTTAGTTGACTTGAGATAAGGTTAAGGTTGACTCGATAACCTGGGTTCTATGGGGGCTGCGGTGGAGATACACCTAGGATGCCCGAGTTTAGAGAAGGGGTGATTGCAGCCGTAAGCCACAACGCGTGTCATGAACATTAAACCGCAAAGCGGAGATTCGACAATTGTCCATACAATTACACATTTGCAGTGAAATCAGTACCACCCAATAAAAAGTGCTAACGTGGAGCGCTAGAAATCTGAATACATCCGACATCCATCCAATGATCAATTCGATGGTAGTATCCCATGAGGTGCCCAAAACGATGCACAATATAGGACAGCGAGGTGCACAAACTGCCACATTGTGTAAGGACAATTACGTTGAGGGTTCAAAAAGCGGGGTGTGACTATTACTACCTTAGAAAAATTGGAGTATGGGTCGACAGGAAAATATAGGACACTCCGATGATAGGAACCATCGAAAGTTAAAGGGAGACGCAATCAGGACCCAAATATCCATGCAATGAAATCCTGTCAACGGGAAAGTGCAGCCGCCTGTTGACACAAAGAAACGGACGAGAAGTCCAACAGCGCCGTGCACGCGAAGCCACCAAACGTGCCTACATGAAACAATTCACATTCTGCTTATACCGGGAGAATAAAATGGTGTTAATGAAAGGATGCGTCACGGTGGAAAAGATTCCGTATCATGATCGGAGAACATGATGTATTCGTCGATAACGGGGGTAAGACTCAACAGAAGGATGTCTGGTGTAGTTGGTTGGGAAGACTTGTAGCAGATTAGTGGTTGGGGGCTTGAGGTACTGGAGAAGCGGACCAAAGAGTAGTTAGCGATTACAAGAATGCCACAGATGTCAGTTGAAAAATACATTGATGTATCATCAAGTGGTCAGGTGCTCTCGACTCATTGGCTAGGTGCGCAAGGAACATGAACACACGGCTGGAAACCCCCTTGGACATGGCAAAAAACCGTGCACAATGGCGAAAATATTGTGAGACACAACTCTCATAACCATAGCTTTACAGTTTTTCCCTCTATTTTCACAACCGCTGTATTAATTCATATGCGCAGGCACTCCGCCAATTGTACGGGTTTACAAAGTGTTCTATATATTTATATCGCGGACTGGTTGCTAATGTAGATTAGAAGATCAAGTTTGTAAATCATCGGCACAATGGATTGTGGTGAACCAAAAGTCCATAAGACGGCGCCAATAGTCAGTCGCATAGTAGTAGCGGACTATAGCGGGCCAACAGTGGATCATACAACCGTTACAGCGGAAGGAGAACGCTAGAGAATCGCAGATATATGTGCATCTAAATTGAATACAGAAGTAGCATGCGCCATGCAGCCTACAACAGAAAGCTCGTGGAAGTTTCGCTTGTTCCTAATTGGTGCATTTGGCTGCCGATATTTGCCACGATAAATAACTCCGTCCTCTCATAAGAGGACGGTTGCCGATTGCTGAAGAAGGCTGTCGGAGCACGTTCGAATATTCTACACAATTACGAAGCTTAGTAGTTATCTATCCACCTCAAAAGAGATCAATAAATTAGACCATTTCTGATGGGGAGGAACAACGAGTGTGAGTGAAGTGAGCATAACATAGGACGTCAAAGTGAAGTAGACAAGTGGGCCAAGAGGTTTACACGCTGAGAACAGAGAAGAGTCAGAGCAACGTGTGAAAAGGTGGTATCAGTTAAGCTATATATTGTCGGTGCTGACTACTATGTTTGAAGAATAAGTGGATACTAATTCCCAATAGATGGATTATCGCCAGCTCGAACATAAAGGACAATGTAAATATTTTGATCAGAATGGGGTGAACTATCTGTGGCTAAGTTTGGTAAAAAAAAAGTTGGCAACAGAACACAAACACGTATCGACCTGTTATGGGAAACGCCGTCGATAAATCTGTAACGAACCCTTCCATTCGGTTTCGAGGACCGACATCATGCGCATGCATCGTGGCACACCCCGGTATATTTTGCGCTGTTGAGGACAGCCAAGTCACAAAGATACGTGAGGTGGAGGATACAGTCAAGCGTTTGCACTACCAGTTAAAAGACTCTTGGTTCGGTAAATATTAGAAAATCAGAATCATAAAAGAAGATTGTAACTGACTACGTGCCGCGTTGGCAATGTGGAATCATCGGATATTTTCGACTGACTTCCTGTCAGAAATTCCTGACTCGCAAAAGTGTGCATACTGAGGAAGTGAGATATTTAAGATCCGGTTGACGTTCATCAGTGAGTCCAGCACTGGATAAGAGTTTGTCATCAGAGTCTAACTTTAAGCCCCAACCACTGACTATTCGCTAGTCTCGCTGGGTGCAAACATGACCTGACAAGGAAATGTGGTATCCAAAAGAAAAGAGTAGGGGCGTTTTTAGCCGGATGGACAAGAAGAGTCGTTTGAACGTTCAGGAAGGTTAAGGGTGATAAAGTTCACTAAAAATGAAGGAAGCGTACCTTAAAACCCTATTTTCTACAAAAATTACACTATTCACAAAAATCCACAAGTAATCAAGAAAAATAGTGGTTGTACTCATTTGATCACCACTTAATGAAAAATCTAACAAGAGCGGTGTTGAAGGGAAAAGACAGTGGGATTTGGAGGACGATCACTATATAACCTCGTCACAACGGTAGTTGCCTCGACGCTTTAACATGGTATGGTGCCAATCCCAGATGGGTTTCCGATATTCCATCTCTTTGCACCGATGAGTAAAGACCAATTGGGAATTTAGGGCACCAGGAAGCATGAAGGTAGCACCTTGCGCATTATTGTATGGTATGGGCAACGTGGATTGCATGATGGCATGCGACAGAGTACAGCAAAAAGAGCCGGAGCGCATCATCAAGCTGTCAGATCAAACCAACAACCAAGCGATGCTTAGCAGTATCCTATACGCCCAACTCGCGACGATGGCAGGTTAAGTAACATAAGTCGTACAGACCAACAATAGGGAAAAGGCAGATGTTTGACATTGCGTTTAACTGCACATGGACTGATGATTCAGGGGGCATTCAGATTATCTAACCAAACCAGAAGAGACTCGGAAAATCCGAGTGCCCGGGGCAGCGGAGACAAAGGAGTTACAATCACTCACTTGGCAAGCCTGCCAAAATCTCAAATTCTCTGCTGAAAACTCCTTTTCCAACCAGCGTTGGAATTCCTCCAGTCCGACTGGATCTTTCAGCAGTTCGTAAATGGAAAAACTCCAGCGCTTCACCCGTCGAACCGAAAGGTACTTAGGACGGAGTTCAGTATTCCAATAATCCGGGTTGTCAGAGATCCATGGGTTAAGCATACTGGACGAATCGTGTGAAGAATCATAAGCTTTAATAAACAAAATAGGAAGAAGAAGCTCGGAGGATGATAAGTTGCGGATGGACTGATTGACAAATCAGGATCAATAAATAAAGACGTACCCATCTATACGAGTACTAGTTTGATGATCAACTTACGGGATGATGGAGAAACAATGTTGCTGCTCACATGCCCACCGGCAGTGTTAGTTCCTGCGCCCAAGCTTGTGCTGCTTGTAGCTGCTGGATCATGGTTGGTAGAACTGCCAACTACACGTGGTGTTGAAGCACCAGAGCCGTTGCGACCGACCAAATCAGATTTGTTCGGAGTATTCCGAAGGCTCGTGGCGAGAGGGTTAGTTGGCGAGAGAGTATTCGCCACTGACTGCGCACCGAGCTGCCCCGAAGATGCGGTTGGGCCAATTTGGCCGGAAACGCTGACCGACGGACCGGATGAAGAGGTGGCCGCCGACAAAAGCAGATCATACTCAGAATACTGATCTGAAAAGTTCTGCAAAAAAAGTTGTCACAAGAAATGGGCGACCGGATTAACGCAAACTGGCCTCGTATCTACGGTACAACGTTGCTTTAGCTCATTGATAAAGAGAATGCCACCAACCGTTGTGAGATGTGTACACAGCAGTAGGTTGCCGCGTTGAGTACAAATTCGGGTGAGGCGAACTGGTGATGCCCCGAAAGCCGTATGGACTAATAAGTAGAATAAGCTCGTTTGCGTATGCAAATACTGTATTACCGAGGACTGTGGATATAATCCTTCAGGTCTCGATAGAGAAGGCACAGGATGGTTCTACGGTAAGAGGAAGCATTGAAACGACCAGCACAGAAAGCAAATCGCTTACAGGTAATAATAAACTGCGGAAGGACAATTGGGACAGTCAACAGGCGAGGTGAATGAAAAAACAATTCAGTGGGCGCTCCTGATGGCAAGCCAGATATCTAATGCAGAAAAAGCAATAAAGTTTGTATGAGCGTAGACAATGCAGACAACCACAAGTACCAAAGACATGCGATGGGAAGGCTGTCACACAACAAGTCATAAGAGTGACACGCGCGTTCCTGTACTGTAACGAACTGAAAAATTGTCCTAGAAAGCGACAACCAAGAGTATCAAGCATGTTCGAGCTTAGCGACCTGGCTTTGTTATGGAGATTCGGATCAGTCTGAGAGTAAATGAGCAGCGCCCTAAAGACAGAATGAGAGGAAAGGGCGAAAGGAAACAAATCAGTCGATAAGAAACGGACACGCAGAGCATAGCCGATCTTAACCAACCGATTGCATGTTGCGAATATGACGTAAACAAGAGAAATACCGTAAAACATATGAAGTTGACCACCACTCTAAGTTGACCGGTATTTTTCATCACTTGAACGTCCATCATGTAAACATTATGGATCCAGACCTCTGCAAGTTGGCAATTTGGGCCCAGTCTTTTGAGTGCTTAATTTAAGTTTTACTGTAAATTGATGTGGAACAGAGTCTCCCGATCAGCAATACGCCTATCGTGATCACAAGAATAAGAAACGCACAACTTTAATCCCTACCTGGAAATTCTTCCGAAGAGAGATAATCTCCGTGGTGACAACGACAGCATGAAACTACGCATGAGTTGTAAAGAAGAAAAGTAAGATGTAAGTGGCAAAGGGTATCTATAACTGCTGGATGAAAAATACTGGAAGAATCTGAAGGCGGAAATTGGTCATAAGAGATGGATACCAATTGGATAATGAAGCCATGCTCGTCCTAATAAAATTAAAGCGTGCAAACCCATCCTAACTTCAAGATCGAGGGTTAGGTAAACGAGTAGTACCTACGTATTCGGAGCAACAAACAAGTGTTTCAATGGCTACTCAGAGCGAGGAACAAGGCAAACCAGGTTCCAGCGTAAATAACGGACCACAGCGGACAATGAAGTAATGTTTACTCCAAGACTAGTTAGTGAATTAAAGTTCGACAATGCGATCACACACACTGCGTTTTTTGTGCATCTGAGTATGCATCAATCAAGAAGGGAGTTTACCAAACCGATGAGGTGGCTGCAGTTGGGTTAGTCAATCATGGTGTAAGCGGTGAAGGACGGTCGGCGTAGTCGTCATACTAGCGCAACCATGGCAAAAACAACAGACAGAAAAGAGGTAAAGCATAACGACCAAAACGAAAGAAAGGACTTCAAGAGGCACCAGTCCGAATGACAAAAAGCAACAGGCAGGAAACCGAACATAAAAGCGCCTTCGTGTCTAGGAATCAACACTCCGTCATGCGAACACCAGCCGTCGAGCGATGATACTGAGAGGTCGCTTGTACCTAGGCAAATTCGAACCGACGACCCTCAAAGTGCAAAGCAGACGTTTGACAGCAATCGGACACCGGCCAGGTACGCCCCACTGAATGGGGTTACCAACTTCCATCATAGCGGATCTGGAGGCCAGAAGCTAGTGCAAAAGAAGGTCTCGATGCAACACAAGCATTGTTCGAGCGCTTCATGCAGTAATGTGCAGTGCCGACAGACGAGGTACGCTAGAATGACTGACCAGTGTGCACGCGAAGAACGCAATAATTAACATAAAAGGTGTAAGTTAACAAGTAATCCAGCACATTAACAGAGAGCATGGTGGCTAGATCCTGACAGATGGTCTACCTACTGCCGCTATTGTTGTGCCATGGGATCATGTCCTGGACGACTCCTTGGGACGACCGCTGAGTGGGAGTTGGGTTACGAACACCTCCTGCTAAGAACCAAGACACCAATCCTCATGAGTCAGTAGTACAACCATGTGTTAGACCCGCTGCCTTTCGGGTGTACATTTAATCGAAGGCTTTAGCCAAGGAACCGAGTCGTTCTCCGGTCAGGTGTGGGCGCCCTGCCAGTATCCTAGCCCATCGTCTTCGGAGGTTATGAAGTGGTCAACGGACCTCTTCTCGTAAAACCTAGCTACGGGACACAACAGGTTTACGGAGTATAAGCTCACAGCTCGACTGGCATAAAGCACGAGCGCTACGCATCGTCTCTGACGGTGAGAAAGCACCTCCGGGAGTTCAATGGTTTGCTACTGCCCGCCTCAAATCAGGCAGCACCTGGTCAAATTGGTGCAAACCCGCCAAAAACCCACCCGCATCTGGCCGTGGTCGCAGGTGCGTATCCTAATACGGCCGCAAAACATAAATGAATCGTTCCAGTACCTCAAATGCTGCGTGTGACGGACCTCAAGTAGATCCCAATCTGTCTCTGCAATCACATTCCCGAGCTGGATCTGCTCCCCACTGCCTTGTGGGTCAGGCTATTGAGTCAAAGGCTCCGGGCGGAGTCCCTCAAGCAAACCTCCGAAGCACAACCGTCACCTCGCGTGCGATTGCCCACCAATGCAATCGTATGCCTGCGCGCAAAGCACTCAGCATCGGGTGCTGGAACGTGCGCACACTACTGGACCGGAACTCGAGTGAGCGCCCTGAGCGACGCACTGCACTGGTCGCGATGGAATTGGCGCGCTACAACATCGATATTGCGGCGCTCAGTGAGACCCGGCTCGCTGAGCAAGGTAAGTTGCATGAAGCAGGTGCTGGCTACACATTCTACTGGGTGGGCAACGCCGCCTCAGCACCACGTGAACATGGGGTCGGATTTGCAATATCCGATCGCCTCCATGGCCAGCTGGTGGGTGAACCAACAGGCATCAGCGCGACTGATGACTGTTCGCCTACGACTCGGAAGAGGTAAGTTTGCCAACTTTAGAACCCGTACGGTCCGACCATGTGTTATCCTGATGACAGACGGGATCAATTCGACACTCAGCCCTCCTCCGTGATACGGTCTGTGCTGATAAGCGACCGACCACTTCAGCTGGGTGATTTCAAAGCGCGCGTTGGACGTGATGCATCGGTATGAGCAGATGTTATCGGCCCACATGGCATTGGTTCAGCGAATGCGAACGGGGACAGGCTACTCTCACTGTGTGCCGCTCACAGCCTGATGATCACGAACACTCGGGTTGCACTGAGTGCGAGTGATATAGCAACTTGGACGCATCCACGGAGTGGTCACGCTCACCTGCTTGAATATGTCATCGTACGTCAGCGTGATATGCGTGAAATGCGCATGACACGTGTACTGTGTGGAGCTGTGTGTAGCACTATCAAAAATTGGTGCGAAACAAACAACATATAATTTCGTAAGTCTATGCATTGCACTCCCGTCGTGAATCGGCGTAAATGTAACATTCTCTCTCTCTCGGTACTGTGGAGAAACGTATTGAGCTGGAGAAGGCGATGGCTGCACGCCTGTGTGATGTGGAATGCATAGCCACAGTGGGCGACCTGTGGCACCACATTCGCGACCAGGTGACAGCTGCTGCCGAGGAGACCATCGGGCGCGCAAACTGTAAGCGGCCTGATTGGTTTGATGAGAACAATGCGACGATTGGCGCATTGGTGTCGGAGAAGAATGCAGCATTTGCTGCACATGTGGCAGACCCCAGTGACTTAAGGAAGAAGAGTCAGTTTCGCAAACTTCGACGGCGACTGACTCAGGAGCTCCGTCGCATTAAAAATGCATGGTGGACGGAGAAGGCGAAGCAGATGGAATGCTACGCCGAACGCCGCCAACACAAGGAATTCTTTGACTCCTTGAAGGCGGTGTATGGACCGAGATTGGAGCCGCTGAGGACCCTGATCGATGGTAGTTCAGGCGCTACCTGCACACAGACTGCAGACATAATGCTGGCTAAAACACTTTGACTGTTTCGTGAACAACCGTTCAGAAAGTGACTGGCCTACTTAGAACGGTCTAAAACAGCACGATGTGAAGGCGTCTGGAAAAGGCGCCGACACTGGATGGAACGCAGAGCACTTGCTCAGCTGCGAAACGGCAAGTGTGCCGGTGCCGACGGGATCCTGCCTGAAGTAATGAAACACCGCGGGCCTGTGTTGGTGACTGCGTTGCACCAGTTGGTGCAACGCGTGTGGATTGAGGAGGAGGTGCCTCCTGAGTTGAAGGGTGCCCAAGTGCTAGCACTGCGCAAGGTCAAAGGAAGCAAGCAATATGCCACGAATTATCGTGGTATCAACTTGCTGAGTTGTGTGGGCAAGGTGATTGCCCGAATCCTGCTCAACCGCCTCGTCAGTCAGGTTTGGAAACCGAACGTGGCGGAAGAGCAATGTGGATTCCGTCCGGGTCGTAGCACCATCGATATGGTGTTTGCGGCTCGTCAGTTGCAGGAGAAGTGCAGAGAACGACACAAGCCGTTGTACTCGCTTTTTGTTGATTTCACCAAGGCATTTGATACAGTGAACTGGGACGAAATGTGGATGGTGTTGGATAAGTTTGGTTTTCCGAGTAAGTTTGTAAGTTTAATTGAATGTCTGCACAGTGGTATGCGGACGAGGGTGCAGCTGAGTGGAGAGACCTCGGATGACTTTGCAGTTATCCGTGATGTGAAGCAAGGCTGTGTCTTAGCTCTTGACTTGTTTAATATTTATCTTCATGCAATGATGTCTTGT